CTAGCATATATTTGCAAAGAACAAATAGTCCTTGAGGTTGCAGAGGCCTGCGATATTTTTTTCTTTTATTGGAAAGACATTTTATCAGGATATGTATGTGTCTTTTGGATCAATTTATGCTAGTCTGGGGCTGTGTGTGTCCTTTCAATCTGAAGTTTCAGGTTTTAATTCAGGTAATATTTGGCTCACTATTCCTCTTTTCACCTGTTCTTTTGAATCATTTTTTTTTTAGTTCCACACAATTTTAAAATTTGAATTTTAAAATTCCAGAATGCTTTTTAAATACCTTATCATATCTCCTTGACATTATAGCTTGTAAGTTTTCTCCTGTTTCTTTTATTAATTCTGTCCCATCTGTTCTGTTGGTCCATTTTAGCCTCCATCCATCCTACAGGGGTGCCTTAAACAGGTTGCAACTTATTTTTGGCCTTCTCATGAATACAAAATATCTCAACATCTAACAGGTCTATCTTTGGGTCTTTAGGGAGGGGGTGGAAACCTGCAGGCAATGAAATACATGGCATTCTTTGTTCTAATGCTAAGGTATGGCATAGGGACCTTTCTGGTCTTAGGCTTCTGCAGTTGTCAAAAGAGAGATGCATGGGTGCAATCCACTTACATATGAAAAAGCCAATAATTATTTTAAAATGAGATACAGAATCTGCAATCTTTGGCATTGGTGGATAACTGCCTTATTTGTTTCTCAACTGGATGACAACTTCCTTCTGTCCACTTAGATATTGCCATCATTGATTTATTTTAAAAAACAAATGTGATAGTGGTAACTGGCCTGATTAAAATTTACCTTTCTTTTTTGAAAATATATTTTTATTGATTTCAGAGAGGAAGGGAGAGGGAGAGAGCAATAGAAACATAAATGATGAGACAATCATTGATAGGCTGCCTCCTGAAGGTCCCCTGCTGGGAGAGAACCAGAAACTCAGGCATGTGTTCTGACTGGGAATTGAACGATGACCTCCTGGTCTATAGGTTGATGTTCAACCACTGAGTCACAGTGGCCAGGTTAGCTCTATCTTCTGCTACTTTATCTCATAGAAATACAATATTCTCTAGCCATATGAACTAAATTTGTCTCCTGAGTTTCTCACATGTAATGAACATGTCCTATTCACTTTATATCCTGATCATGTATCATAGTATTTGTCACATAACTAATAATAAAAATTTGCTGTGTATCTAAAATTATAAATGTTTCTAACTAGAAATCATATATGAAATTTGTTTTCTAAATTAATGAGTTTTATTTAAATTATTAAAATATATATTTCAAATGCTTACCTTTTAAGAGACTCAGAAATCTACATTTTAAGAGACAATAAAACACTTAAATATATAGAGTAAGAGTTAGGGTTAAACAGTCATGAATTAAGCACCTGAACTGCTAATGGAGTTTCTTCATCTGGCATCATATAATGGCATAATAAAGATTTATATCCATTGTTATTAGTCCAAGAAGAAGAATTATGTTCCTCAACGAGATTTCTAATTTCTTTCAGATTCTGCTCCAAGTCCAAAAGGGACAAAGAATGTTTAAGAGAAACACTAGAAACAGAGAAAAGGAAATTGGGATTAATTGAAACTATATCGTACATCCTACACACACTTTTCCTATCAGGTGACTATCTGAAATCCTGTTTCATCCAGTCAAACTGAAACTGGTGACTGTGAAATCTCTTGAGTAGATTAAGAAATCAACCATCACTTAAAGGACATTATTAGAGCCAAGAAAAATCTTGCTACAGATTTCACAAGAAAATTCCCACTGTAATTATAGACATTATCAGTATAAGTGGGAGATAAAAGCCTCAGAGGCTAATTTTAAAGTAGGTTTTTACCCCACAATCCAAATATTTCTGGTTTGGAAATCAATAAAAAACAATGAAATGTTAAGAGTTTACCCTTACTATCAAAAGGTTGATACAAATGAAGAAAATGGATTCCACAATACAATATCCACAATACCTTACAAAGAATCTCATGAACAACGTTTGTCAAGTTACTAGCTTCACTAGAAATTCTAATTTTTCTTTTATTCATTAGAATAAGAAGTCAGAAAAGCTGAAGCAAAATGCCTCACCTTCCTAAAGTCTTATGCACAGCTTGTTTAATGACAGTGATCAGCTCCGTCAGGCCTATTACAAGAAAACAAACATAAAGCCTTGTTTACTTTTCAAACTCAATAATACAAATGAATGAATTATAATTAGTTTACAGGTCACAAATAAGAATCTTACCATCTCCAAGGAGGTGTTGAATACTTGATAGATATTGCTGTTGGACATCTGGGGGCGCAAGGACTGTCTGTACAAAACAGAAGGTTAAATTACACAATATTATTACTAAATAATATTTTCAGTGTAACTTGAGCTGAGATTTTCAGGACCTGGATTAATAGGCAATATAACACTCTAATATAATCAAAAAGTCTAGTTTCAAAATATAAAAAATAATAATGCTAAAAGTTTATAATTACATGAAATATAAAGATATTTAAAGAAATTACCAATAGTAGTAATATTCAATTAAATTTTGAACCTTTTGAAACAAAGGGCACTATCTATTTAAGTCTATTCAACTCACCGTGCCATTTTTGCCAACTGCTGCATTATCCAGGTAAATATATCCACCAATAATGTTTAACTGGACTCGCAAAAGAACCACCAGCATACATGTACTATATACAGCCACAATACTTCTTGTAAAACCTTCATAGAGGAAAAAAAATCATTTGGTACTCTTACTAAAACACAAATCAATGTGTAAAGACATGAATCATTGCTATGGTTGTTTTCTCATAAGATGACTTAAAAATACATTTGTAACTGTTTCAAATACAAAATATAGCAATTCAAAATATTTCAAAGTCTATCTCATAACTTTTTAATGTACACTAGGTATGATCTCTTAATTAAAACAATAACCAATATATTGGATGAAGGGTTATATATTTTTAACTTTAAAAGGTTAAATAAGAAAGGACTGGGAAGCACGAAGAGCTGCAGCCTCAGAACTCTGGTTTTCCCAGGAAGCTAATTCAGAGTAAAAGAATTTTACTAAGCTTGGAAGAACTCCAGCTTTCAAAGACAGGCAAAGAAGTATGAGCCCATTAAAGGGCTAGGGGAAGGCACAGAAACACAGGGAGACATCTGGAGATGAGGTGTCACAGTAGCATAGAACAGAGTGTTCAAAACAGAGGAGAATGCAAAGGTGTTGACTGCTGCCATGAGGCTAACAGGAGAAAAACGTCCAGTGGATTTAGCAACATAAAAGTTACTACTAATGTTGCAAGATCTGCGGGGGTGGAGACATGGGAGTAGAATCCAGGCTGTAGTGTGTCAAACGGTGAGTGAGAGGGAGGAGAAGGGAATGAAGAAATATTTGGTATTATATGGGAGTGTGAAACTGCATGATAGCTCAAAGGAAATAGAGATTACTATAAAGATTTAATTTATTTTCAAACAGGAAGGCTTAAGCATGATTCAGTTGATAAAGATTAGTTGAATGGATGAGAAAATGTAGGAATGATAGTATGAAGTTATAAGGCATGGATGTATATATGCGCGAGGACAGCTCTTTGCTTCAAACTTTTATTACTAATGAAAGTTTGTACACAATACAAAGTAAAGTTACTGTCTGGGTTGAAATAAAGACTTCTTTAAAGTATAATATTGAAGATATCAGTACCTAATACCTATTTACCTGTGAGAAGGATATCAATTTTGGGAGCTGAGGGAAGAATGTTATGAACTAAATATTTGTATTCTCCCTCCCCCCAAATTTATATATTAAAGGCATATGTAGTCTAGGACAAGTTTACATATTATCATAATAATAATACTACCTACACCATTAACACTCAGTATTTTCTATGACCAGAAACTGACCTACTTTTTTATGAGAATTATTTAATCCTGATAACTCTATGAGATAAAGAAGTCATCCACATAGAGTACAAAATTTTCTCTTTAGAAATATTTTAAGGATGTGCTGCTGTCACAGAGCATGTAAGCTTACTTATTATCTTCAGATCCTCCCATATTTCTAGCTTGTTTGAAGGCCTAAAGAAAAAAAAATAAGAATATATGAAAATAATATTCAGATCATCTAACAGAAAACTTCGCGTTTTATAGCTGTATATTTAATTGTAGTTTATTACAAAAAACAAAGCCCACAAAATATAGTAAAAAACAACTATAATTTTAGTAACCAATGCTAGCAACTATTTGCACTAGCATACTGGTGCATATCCTTCTAGTTTTTTACTCTTTTAGAGTATATGAATATCCTATATGATAAAAGGCTAATATGCAAGTTGACTGAACGACCGGTTGTTATGACATGCACTGACCACCAGGAGGCATACACTCAATGAGGAAGTTGCCCTCTGGTGGTTAGTGTGCTCTCACAGGGGGTGCATTGCTTAGCCAAAAGCCCTGAGCCTGGGCGTACGGCTGGCAAGCGCAGTGGCAGTGGTGGGAGCCTCTCCTACCTCTGTGACAGCTTAGCCCAGCTCCCCATGGGCCTTAGCTGTCAGTCATATATCCCCTGAGGATTCCCGGACTGGGAGAGGGTGCAGGCTAGGCTGAGGAACCCCCCCTCAAGCGCACAAATTTCATGCACTAGGGCTCTAGTATGTATTATAAAATCATGTAGGAAAAACTGAAACAATGTTTATTTCTTTCCCATATTTACCATTTTACATATAATGAAGTAGATCCTATAGTCATTGAAAGGTAAATAATGAAGTTTTTTTATTTTGTTTTGTTTTAAAGTATCAAGACACATGAATTTAAATATATATTTGATGTATCTCAACTCACTTTACTTATTCTTATTGATATTCAAATTGTCCATTTTTTACTATTCAACTTAACTTGTTCCTGAATTCTTTTGACATTACCCCATTTAGTCTTTGATAGCTTCCTTGCTTACTGACATCAAAAACTGTGCGTGTTTATCTTGTTCATTTCTTGCTGTAGACCTGAAATCAGCTATTTCTCCAAGAGTCCTATTTCCTGGTAGCAGGAAAAGGTAGCTTGAGATGGCAACCTTCAATTAAAGATATTCATCACTATTGGGTAACAATTCTAAGCTTCTTCAGCAGACTAAGATAGTACATATATGTGTATTTATAAACACAGTCCTTGGGTTATGTCGAACTCGACATACGTCGTTTCATGGTTACATTGCCATCTCCCATTTATTTATATACAAAAAAAAAGTTCTGTCATTTCGATATATGTACATATGTGCTTTATGTTTTTTATTATTTATTAACCACAAATAAAGGTCAGGAATTGATATCTTTTTTTAAATATTTTTTTTTTTTTTTTTTTTTTTTTTTTTACTGTTTCACTTCATTACTGCTGTGTAAATGCTCCATGTGAGTGATGCAGGTGCTTTGAAGGTAGGTTCTGACTTATGGCGAAAATCACGTTATGTCATAGATCTCCAATGTAATTAGAGGACCTACTGTATACTTATATGAACGTATTTTCAAAGAGATAAAATACATCATGAATTTATACTTGGAATTCTTTAGTGTCACTAAAATGTATTATTATTATTTTTTTTTTTTAAAGGGAACTCTTTTTTTAAAAAATATATTTTATTGATTTTATACAGAAAGGAAGGGAGAGAGATAGAGAGTTAGAAACATCGATGAGAGAGAGTCATCGATCAGCTGCCTCTTGCACACCCCCTACTGGGGATATGCCCGCAACCAAGGTACATGCCCTTGACCGGAATCGAACCCAGGACCCTTCAGTCCCCAAGCCGACGCTCTATCCATTGAGCCAAACAGGTCCTGGCAAAATGTATTCTTAAGAATTAAATTAATCCTTTCAAAGTGTTCTATTTCTTTTATTATAGAATATGTTAAAGCTTCTTTGTCTCCAAAACATCATTGTCATTATCAGTCTTTAGTAAGAATGCTAAGTACTAAAAACAGTAATGGAAGCTTATTTGCTAAACTTACAAAATAAGGCCACCAAATCTTTTCTTTATTTCTGGTCAGCTATTATCATAACTAGTTTAAAGAGAAAATTAATTTGCTTGACAGACTTGTAAGAGACCTTAGTTGACTGAAAACTAATACAAAAACAATTATTATGTATTTAATTACACTTGGTAAGAGTTTAAGCCCCTCTTTATGCAAATGTCTTTCAAATAGACTTTTTTTTTTTTTTTACTTCAATCTGCAAACAGTAATTTCAAATTTAAAGAAAGGTAAGGAAAAATAACACAGATATAAGGAAACAGTGAATTAGAACTGTTGCCCATTTTAAGCTCTTAAGAACGTAAGAAATTCTCCTGTCTGCAATGGAGTAAGAGGAATGACACCTTTTCTTTAAAGCTGTCCAAGATTACCCTTCAAAACTAATCCCTGTTTTCTCTAGCCCAACACATCTTCACACCCAGTTTGCTTTTACATTTTTTTTTAAACCACAGATCAAACATAATATGTCTTGAATTATATTTTATTTCATCTACTTCCTTCCTAGGATGGCAATGTCTTAAAGGGAAAGATACCCTTTGTTAATTATCACAGGGAACCTAGAGCCTTGCAGGAAAGAGTCATCCAGGAAGAAGAATGCCACGGTTTTTATGTTGCTTTTATACAGGTGCTACTCACTACTTCATTTGTCATGCCTCCCCAATAAAACTAAAACTTAAGACAATTAAAATGCAATTTTATTCCCTATTTATGTACACACTAGATGCCTGGTGCACAAAATTCGTGCATTGGGGGGGTGTCCCTCAGCTTAGCCTGCACCTTCTCCAATCTGGGACCCCTAGAGAGATGTCCGACTGCTTGTTTAGACCCGATCCCACAGTCGGACATCCCTCTCACAATCCAGAACTGCTGGCTCCCAACTGCTCGCCTGCCTGCCTTTCTGACTGCCCAAACCGCCAGCCTGATCACCCCCTAACCACTTCCCTGACAGCCTGATTGATGCCTAACTGCTCCACTGTCAGCCTGTTTGCCCCTAATTGCCCTCCCCTATTTATTTATCCCCTATTTATGGACATACATGTGATAAAAAGGATTTATTTGAGAGTAATCTACTGATATGTTTCTTCTTCATATAATTATATGAACTAACGTAAACTGAACTTACATCTGGAAGTAATAGTAAAATTATGTCAACCTCTAACAATGATGAAATTTAGAAGGAAAACTAAAATTACATTTTAATCAGTTAAAAAAAAATTCCAAGTACGCAAATCCATTGTCATTTTGGGAGGTATTCTCTGAATAAAGAAAATGTTTCAAAGAAATTTTCCAGCTTTCTGTTGAAGTTATCTGAGCAATAAATTCCTATGAGCAAAATGAATGAGAATATCTGCTTCACAAGGATATTGTGAAAATTAAATGGAACAAGTGTGAACATTAAATGGGAGCATGCATGTGAGGTATTTGCACTGGCACAGAGAGAGTTCAGCAATAGCACTTTCTTCCCCTGGGTATTGGAGGATGATTACTAGGAAAGTAAATATTTCAATAAGGCCACAATGATTAAAATTTATTTATTGAGACCATTTCTCTCCATCTTGCCTATTAAAATAAGAAGCCACTTTCTTCTGGAGCTCTTCTCAAACTTACATAGCACCACCAAATTAAAATACCCAACACATACTGCCTCCATTTACAAGGTCCTATCTGTGAAAGTGTTGTGTAGCCAGTAAACTGTCATGGTAAGATAAATTATCATTATTGCTGCTCATGTTGTATTTGCACTTCACTTTGTAAATAATACAAAATGTAAGTTCAGGGTGGTGTGGGGCAATGGGGTAATAAGGACACATATGTAATACCTTAATCAATAAATACAAAATAAAATAAAATGTAAGTTCATATGCCTTATTTACCTAAAATACATGTTCACATGATTTACCTCTTAAATTATAAACTCTCTAAGAAGCCCACTGTTTAACATAACTTAGTATCTGGTTCAGAAACACATTCCATAAGAACTCAATAATTACATTTCTGAGTAATGTCAGTGATATAAGATCTATTTATATAAAAACCAGAATACACATAAATAATTGCTTACCCAAATATTTTGTGCATCAAGGTAGAGTATAAATAAATGGACAAAATAAAATATGGCCGAAAACGGTTTGGCTCAGTGGTAGAGCGTCTGTCTGCGGACTGAAATGTCCCACGTTTGATTCCGGTCAGGGGCATGTACATTGGTTGCGGGCACATCCCCAGTAGGGGGTGTGCAAGAGGCAGCTGGTTGATGTTTCTCTCTCATCGACGTTTCTGGCTTTCTATCTCTCTCCCTTCCTCTCTTTAAAAAATCAATAAAATATATTTTAAAAAAATATATGAATTCAAAGATAGAGTTAGTAAATATTTTTTTCCAAATAAGCCTATATTGTAAGCTTTAATTAGAAAGAAAAAAAGAAAGCAAAGATGTTTGAAAATTATTTCAGTTAATTGTACACACTTTAAGTGCAATATATAATTTAAAAAAATGCTGTACCTTGCATTTACCTGTTTTTTAGCAGAGCTGTAAGGCTCTCAGAATTGAGTTGCTGCATTAAGGCCTCTCTCAGTGTTGGAAGCATGGACAGCACTGTAACACAAACAGAAAATAAAAGTCACAAGTGCTATGACTACCTTCCCTGAGAAATGCACATTGTTTTAGGCCATACGACAGGACTGGCAACTAGCAAGGGTTGGGAAGGCCAGGATTAGAGTTTTCAAATTATTATTATTAATGTTAATAAAAATGGATTATATACTAATAAACCATTTATCTACTTATATTAAGTGAACAAAATTTTATGCATACTATAATTATAGCAAAGTAAACAAGTAGACATAGAAAAAAGTATGAGAAGAATTATTCTCAGATGCCAACAGTGGTGGTATCTGGGCTATGGATTATGGATGATTCTTTTTTTTTTCTTTTTCTTTTTTCTGTACTCTCCAAATTTTCTTTACAAAAAAAAACACAAAACTCTATTTCTGATATAATAAAATGATTAAGAACAACATTTTGACCTGTAAAATTCTAGCTAGGTCAGAGCGCCCCAGAGCCTCCAAAAGAAGGCCCAATGCTGGACAGCTTCTTGCATTGCTTCACAGCTTGGCCTCATCTTGGCACCTCCAAACCTCAAACAAAGAGGAGAAATCTGCAGATCTCTCTGTAGCTCCTGCTGGGTGGCCTCAGGCAGAACTAAAGTTGCACCTCTTTGGAGATCCAAGAGCCAGTGTACCCAGTGGTCAGAGTAAGATCATCCAGTTTACAACTCTTCACATCCATAAGAAACACACTCAGAGGGCAGAATCAGTGAGCACCAAAGCCACACTGAAGCAAATCCTGCCCATAAGGGTGTCTCCAGCAAAGAAGTTCTCCCAGTGTAGACACAACTGGTCCTCATAGTCAATTGGCCTGGAGGTCAATTCCTCCCAGTGATAGCAATCAAGGCTTAGCTACAACAAGACTGTGCACACAGCCCACATAGGGGTGCACCAAGAGTATCCACGTGAGGTAACTGGAGAGGCTGAGCCACTGGGCCCTATGGGACATCTAGCACATAAAGCCACTCTATCAACTCAGGGAAGCAGCCAAAATGTGGAGACAAAGAATCAGGTCACAATGAAAGAAATGGAAAGCAAACTACTAGATATAGAGTTCAAAACCATGGTTATAAGATTACTCAAGAATCTTCTAGAAACCTCCAAAAAATATAGTGAAGCCCTCAAGGATATGAAAAAGGACCAATTAGGAATTAAACATACACTGATTGAAATAAAGAATAATATACAGAGATCCAACAGCAGACTAGAGAATTGCAAGTATCAAGTCAAAGATTTGAAATACAAAGGAGCAAAAAACACTCAACTGGAAAAGCAAAAGGAAAAAAGAATACAAAAATATGAAAATAGTGCAAGGAGCCTCTGGGACAACTTCAAGTGTATCAACATCAGAATTATGGGGGTGCCAGAAGAAGAGAGAGAGCAAGATATTGAAAACCTATTT